TACCCTGTAGTGCTCCTTCTGATGTCAACATTTTCGGCTAAGTTAACATCTACATATCTTATAAGTATCGCATCTCCACCTTTGAAACAAAGTGCTTTGTTTGTAGTACCCCGCAAATATCTGAGGATCCATTTGACTACTTCCCAGTGTACCTTGCCCGGATTATTCATGTACCTGCTAACAGCTCCCACTGCTTGAGTAATATCTGGTCTGGTACAAACCATGGCATACATCAGACTTCCAATTGCTGAGGCATACGACACCTTCACCATGTGTGCACGTTCTTCCTCCGTCTTTGGCTACTGTTCTTTGGAGAGTCTAAAATAACACCTAAAGGTGTACTTACTGGTTTAGCATCTTGCATGTTGAACCTGGAGAGTACTTTGTTAATGTACTTAGCCTATGATAACATCAAAGTCCCTGAGTTTATATCTCTCTTAATCTTCATCCCAAGAATCTACTTTGCAGCGCCCAGATCCTTCATAGCAAATTGCTTCGACAATTTTTGCTTCAAGTGTATAATATGTTGTATGTCTGAGCCTGCAACGAGCATGTCATCAATATACAATAATAAAATGATGAAGCTGTTGCTGTTGTTGAACCTCTTGATGTAGCAACAATGATCTGCTTGGCATCTGGTAAAACCACTGCTACTCATGAAACTATCAAACTTCTTGTACCACTGTCTAGGAGCTTGTTTTAAACCATACAAGTTCTTCTTCAACCTGCATACCAGGTTTTTCTTGTCTGCCTCTATGAAGCCTTCTGGCTGCCTCATATAGATTTCTTCTTCCAAATCACCATGAAGGAAAGCTGTCTTCACATCTAACTGCTCAAGATGTAAATTCTTTGCAGCTACAATTTTCAACATCAGTCTAATTGTAGATAGTTTCACGACTGGAGAGAAAATTTCATTGTAGTCAATACCTTCTTTTTGCTGAAAGCCTTTGACAACCAATCTTGCTTTGTAGCGTTTGCTCCCATCGTGCTCTTCTTTAATCCTGTAAATCCACTTGTTATGGAGTGCTTTCTTTCCTGGTGGTAATTCAGCTAATTCCCACGTTTGATTTGACATAAGCGAGTCTATCTCATCTTTCATGGAAGATTCCCACTTGACTGAATCCTCCACCTGCATTGCTTCATCATAGCACTCTGGTTCACCATTGTCAGCCATCAACAAGTAGTGCAAAGAAGGTGAATAACGTTGGGTTGGTTTAGGAATTCTAGAGGAGCGTCTCAGTTCTGGTTTGCCTGGTTCTTCTTGAACTGCTTCAGGACTAATTTGAACATCATTTCCAGAAATCTCGTCGATCTCAGCAAATTCCTTTGTTTCAGCTTCGGTATTGGAGTTACTTGATTCTATGGTTGACCTGTCTTTGTACATCACATTCTCATTGAAAATGACATCTCTGCTTCTGATGATCTTCCGATTTTCGTAGTCCCAAAACCGATAACCGAACTCATCACCACCATAACCAACAAAGACGCATTTGTTGGACTTGGCATCAAGTTTACTTCTTTCAGCAGAGTTTATGTGTACATAAGAAATACAACCAAACACTCTTAAGTGTGAAAGGTTTATTTCTTTCTTGCTCCAAGCTTCCTCTGGTATTCCACCATCCAAAGGAACTGAGGGCCCACGGTTGATCAGGTAAGCTGCAGTGTTGATAGCTTCAGCCCATAGAAATTTAGGTAATCCGGTATGTATCCTCATGCTTCTGGCACGTTCATTCAGACTTCTGTTCATGCGCTCTGCTACGCCATTCTGCTGCGGTGTCATGGGAATTATTGTCTCCATTTTGATCCCATTGTTTGCGCAGAAATCTTTGAATCTACGATTTCTGTACTATCCTCCATTGTCAGACCTCAACTGCTTGACTTTCAGACCAGTCTCATTTTCCACCATGGCCTTCCATTTTCTGAAGGTATCAAAGACTTCTGATTTCTTCTTCAGAAAATAAACCCACACCTTCCTTGTTGAATCATCGATGAAGGTGACATAATATAATGAGCCTGCAAGAGATGAAACTAGAGATGGTCCCCATACATCAGTATGAACCAACTCTAACTTTTCAGCCTTGTGTGTATTACCAATCTTTGCAAAGCTGACTTTCTTTTGTTTGCCAAAGATGCAATCCTCGCATAGTCCGACATCTACATTCTTTAGATCTGGCAGCTTACCTTTTGACAAAAGTGTCTTCATCCCTTTCTCGCTCATATGACCAAGTGTTTGGTGCCATAGGTTTGATTTTCCATCAGCATCTGCTGCAACAATTATATTCTCTAAGTTTAAGGTTACATAAAGAGTACCAGTCTTCTTACCACGAGCAATGACGAGTGCTCCTTTGGTAATATTCCATTCACAGCCTGAAAATGTTGTACTATAACCTTCTCCATCAAGTTTTCCTACAGAAATCAGATTTCTTTTGAGGCCAGGAATATGTCTCACTCCTTTCAGCGTCCAGGTGGTCTGGTTTGGCAACTTTAGTCGGATGTCTCCTTTTCCGATGATCTTCAAGGTTTCATCATCAGCTAGATGAACCTTCCCAAAATCACAACTGACATAGTTCTCCATGATTTCTCAGCATGGGGTGGAGTGGAAAGATGCCCCTAAATCCAAGATTCATGATTCAATCGGACTGTTGATGCTTAGAATCATGGCATCACCTGTCTCCTCTGTCACGTTGGCAGATTCCTGTGCGGCGGTATCTTTCTTCGGTGCTCGATAATCTCTTTTAAAGTGACCATTCTTGCCACAATTATAACAGGTATAATCTTTATTTCCCGTTCTTGATTTTCCCGTTCTGGATTTGGATCTGCCACGATTTGAATTTCTTTATGAAGTTCTCCCTCTGGACTCCGTGTGCAAGGCTGAGGAGGTTGATGCTTCACCCAATTCTCTCCGTCGAATTTCTTCGCTCAGTACCAGATCTCGAACATCGTCGAATTTTAATTTGCTGTTTCCCGACGAGTTGCTGACTGCTGTAACAGTAGCATTCCAACTGTATGGTAGAGATGATAAGAGAATTAAAGCTCGAACTTCATCATCGAATTCAATTTCCATAGAACTCAGCTGGGTTGTGATTGTGTTGAGTTCATTTAGGTGTTGAGCCACTAATGCCCCTTCTGCCATCCGCAAATTGAATAATCGCCTCATCAAGTGAACCTTGTTTGAGGCCGATGAATTTTCATACATACTGGAGAGAGCCGCCATAAGACCCGCCGTGGTCTTTTCCTTTGCTATGTTGAAAGCAACATTACGGGATAACGTCAGTCGGATAACTCCGAGGGCTTGTCTATCGAGAAGAACCCAGTCTTCATTCTTCATGCCCTCTGGTTGCTTTCCTGAGAGAGGTTGATATAGATTTTTCTGGTACAAAAAATCTTCAATCTGCATCTTCCAAAAGCCAAAGTCCGCACCATCGAACTTTTCAATTTTCACCTTCCCTTCGTCTGCAGCCATCGTTTCCACTCGAATCTGGCTTCGTTTGGATCATTTCCGACAATTCTTGCGAACCACCGTGTATTAGAACACCTCCGTTGACAAATTCGTATCGCCGACAATTTTTTACTATTCATAAAATTCACTATTCATATGAATAGTAACCTCGTAAAAATTGACAAAATTCACAACCAAAAGCTCTGATTACCAGTTGTTGGGAAATAAAACGAGTAACGAGTAATTTTCCTATAACCAGATTAGTGAAAATGCGAAATAAAAGCGGAAAAATAATACTCGAAATTGATAACGGAGTTCAGCCAATTATGCCTACGTCTCCGGACTACTGCAGATCTTTTACTAAGAGAGAAAATTTACAGGTGTTTACAAAACACTCACTACTCACAAGAAAGCTCTCTAGTATTGGGAGAAAGAAATGATTTGGGATTTTGGGATGATTTTGAAGCTAAATGAGCTAGGTTATTTATAGTTGAAGTTTAAGGGTTAATCTTGTAAATACTCTAAAGTTCAATGACTTAATTTTGTAATTATCCCTATTATAAAATAATAAAAAAATTTCCCCACTTGTTAACTACTCGCGAGCAATCATGTGCTCCTCTTTTATTACCAACCAACTTATACTCATCAATACCTTCCGAAGCTTTTAGCGTGGCTTTAAAGGTCCTAAATCTTTTGTGGATCTTGACCTTAACAACCACCCTGACTTTCCTTCAAGACGCCATAGTCGTTTTTCCTTATCCTTTTTCAAAATAGTATTTTCTCTCTCTCTTCACTACTTCCTGAGTGAAACATGAAGGTGCAAACTTGCAAAGTTAAATAAACCCTTATGTTAGTTCTTAAAGAACATTTCGTACCTTGTTCGATTCTCCGACGAATATGACCTTGACTAGATTCAGGAGGAGTACAAACACCCTTGATGGAACCACCATTAATGGACCTTGGATGAAACCTAAAGGACATCAAATGTTAGGAGACCATGGACCAAGACCTAGAGAGAAAGAAGATGATTTTCTATCATTGGAAACCATTTTACTATTGCTACCGATAGGCATAGTAATGTTTTACAAATAAGAATGTTATTTGAACATATACTGGATATTCCTTTCGCACCCATCCCCACTAAAAAAGTTCATTCTAATCCTCATCCCGCAACTTGCTGCGAGTATAAAATCTAAAATTATTTTAATTAAGTGTTTTTTTTTATTTTAATGTAAAAATGTGTTTAAAGACATTTTTATTAAAATTTTCACAAAATGACTTTAAGATGAAATATAGTTTTATTCGTAAATATTATAATATGGAAAGCATAAAAAATCAAAGTTCTCAACTAGACATTATTTTGATGCCATCTAAATAATTATTTTGGTAACATGAAAAATAACGTGTCATACTCAACTTTTTCATTAAAAATACGTAAATGATAATGATTTAATTTATTATTAATAATAATTGAATGATATAATTAAAAGATTTATGATCTATATGAAAGTTGAAGTAAAGTTGTGGGATGTAAATAAGCCATTACCCTTTTAACATAATCGCACTGTAATCTTCAATGGGAACAACTATTTAAGGTACATCGAAGCAAACGATGAACAAAACTAATCAAATAAAATCATCCATCCCAACCAACCACCAGTAGCCATAAAATGCAGATCAACCTGTGGTTCATCCCCTAAAAAAGAATGCTATATAATAGATATCTACCTCTGAATGAATGATCCACCCAATGCTCTAGAAAATTCCTCACCCCCCTCCTGCTGTATCCAGTAAAATTTGTTCACATAATATCAAGGCAATCAATGCCCACAACCCACAAAACAGCTAGCCATCTTCTTTTCTCAAGCCACGGAACACACCTTATCTGAAAAATATTAGACGGTACAAAATATTGGGTGTCAACACAAGCTAAAGGATCTTAAAGTGTATATTCGATAAATAAAATCATAACCCATTTCCTACGAAATAAATAAATAGAAATGCCGAGATGCATGCTTATAATAGCCACCTAATGATAGAAACAGGTCAAGGACCCAACTGCAAAATCGTAGAGATCATATGTGACTAAATCACTAAATTGATTTGTGTTAGCTTGTCTCTTTATTCTTTTCCCCAAAATTCATGTAAAAGCTCTAAAAAGTTTAAACAAGAACATAACATGGAAGCAAGTTCACCTTGTCTAATGCTACTGCAGCAAAGACGATTGTCATCTATATAAGTTGCCTGGACACCCATCATCCAAGATCCCACTGATATATCATCATGAGCGTAAGTCTTCAAAGATGCACTGCATGTAATATAAGCTAGATGAAGTGAAATTCAAATTTATTTAGAATTTTACGCAACAATGTGAACATTTAATGGAAGGTATAGTTCACAACACAACCTTTCCAATAAATCTTTGACCATGTTCAACATCGCGTGCAAAGCAAAGTGATTGATAATTGACACACAAAACAGATGCATTTAGCCTGCCTTTCATTCAGTTTATAACACATAAATACGAGGAGGACTACACTACACGTTTCTCCCTCGAATAAAAAAGAGCAACTCTAATATGATTTGAAGTTCTTATAATACCCAAATTGTACAAATCACTAATGTTTCAGTTTCAGAATCTCACAGTGGAATGTATATCTCATTCTTTCAAGGTTACAGCATCAACAAATAAAAACTAACCTGTTTATGTTGATATATTGAGCAAGATTTTTGGAAAGTATAAGAAGTGAACCAGAGGCATGTCGGAAATACCTGAAAGGAAGAACATAACTAATCGTGTTACCATAAATAGGAACTTCATAGTAATTGGCTACCATATTAAAGAGGATAGGAGCCCCTCTGAAGGTACATGACACAAACACACCATCATAATATAAAAAAATAAGTTAAGCTAGATAACTTACGATTTTTCATCCCCAAATTTCCACCATTCAGGTTCATACCAAAGCTTTCCCCTGAATCAACAAAATTTAGGTACCCAAAAGCTGAACTTCGAATCTTAGAATATAAACAACTCAAGCTCAAAATAGATTTTAATAGAATGATCTTAAGGGAAAGTAAAGACAGCCGAACATTCAAAGATAAATAAACAAGAATGTCTGAACATGACATAAGCAATAACAACCTAAGAAATAAACGATACATACTCTTCAGAAACCACATCTCCTGACTTCATGCATCCAATATAAGCACTATCTTGGTCACGTCGACGTTCAAGAAGTCCAATCAATCCCTCTGTCATGTAGAAAAAATGGAGTAGATGATTTATTAGAGACTAAAAAAGAGAAATAAGCCATAAGCCAAAAAGTTGTTACATTCTATACAAATGAAAAGGGAAGAAGTCTAACCCAGGTCAATGTCAATATTATCATCAACTTTAATGTAAAAGTCAGCATCCCAATTTTGAACTGCAGTACTGAAGAAGTGCTTCACTTTTTTAGGTAGCTCCTCCTGAGCCTCCTCATGACCATCCTAATAAATCAAAATTGACGAACATGCACAAAATCTATTTTTAAGCCAGTCAAATTTCAAAAAGCAAGTGGAAAGAGAAATTTTTATAAAAGACAAAGCCTAGCATGCGATTACAGAAACGTTCTGATAATCTTTGCTATTATGCAGGATATATAGGCCCCAAAGAAAAATTCAATAATTGCAATCATATTCAAATGCTATCACTTACAAGAATAAAGAAATCCTTTGTCTTATTATTTTCCTCGTCAATATGGCGGTCCAAGCTATCACCTCGATTAGCACTACCAATTTCAAAGTAGTTAATCCAATTAGTGCCCATCAGTTGTAGCATTGCTGATAGCAGAGGAATGAAACCAAGAAAAGAAGACAATAGATAATCCATATAAAACCATGAGCGAAATGGGCATTGATGATTATGGAATACCTTCGACCAATCACAAATTGTATCACTACTCCTCTTTCCTCCAATTTTTTTAAAGCATCACCTGTCAAAACCAGAATACTGTGGATAAGACATGGTTTCTATTGCAAAGTATGCAGAATACTAATGCAATAGTATAGTAGCAGAAAAACCAGAAATCACCAGAAATGAAAATAAAAGCCAACAGAAGACCTAAATTCAAACTTTATAAGAAACCAGCAACTCACCTTTAGGCATCCAAGATCCTCTAAATTTATTTCGATTCAAGTAACTACCAAATCCGGTGTAAACTCCAATAACTGCTAGAATCTTATTTTTTGAAGACTCATTTTGTTGCAACTGGTGCTTGAGGTAGCCTTGACTCTTAGCTAATGTCAAATCCATCTCAACTTCTGCAATCCTCCTCTCTAGATCCCTAAAAATCAAATTCAATATGACAAAATGATGGAATGAATCCAATTAGACCATACAAAGTGTGAGAGAGATGATAAGAACGAGAATTAAGAAACATACTTGCATCCCAAGACCATCAGCTTATCTTCAACGGTAAGAACCTTTGGTCTCTACCAATACGAAAACAGAAAAATCAGAGGGGAAACAGACACAGTCTAGTAATTAAAATCTTATTTAATAGAAAATTGTGTTGTTAAAATGATCTTATACACACTCAAATATTTACCAGAAAATAGATACAGAGGAAATAGGATAAAAACAAGCGAATTTGTTTGGCTTCTGAATCCTAAATTGCTAATAAAAAATTCACAGAAGAAAACCTGTTCAATGTTCTTCTTAAGAAGATTAGCAAGCAATGTTCTGTTCTCCGCATCTTGCCACAACCTAAGTTTCACCAAAATTTCGCAAAATAAGCAAATAGATGAAACAATTCTAATTTATCAAATTGTTAGCTACGCAAATAGATAAAGGAAAAACAAAACAACAATTCTAAGCTGATTAATTGAAGAGAAATATGAATTCAATGAGACTTTTTCCCTAAATACAATCCAAAATGAAAAGATAAAATCTCCAATAAGCAAAAAATGGATATAACGAACCGTCCAGCAACGTAAAGCCAAGCGACGCAAGAGAAAAAGGCCATGAACAAAGAAGGCTTGGATGTCTGTAGATTCTTGGATCTCCAGCGTCGCTCATTTTTCGTTGTCGTTGGCAACCCCTCCATCTCCACTGTCCAACAGAGATACAGAAAATCAAAAACAAAGATTTAATCACCGTCTCTGTCTCAATGCTAATCCGAAAATTCAGAATGATCGAGGGCGGAGAGAGAATCTAAGCAGTGTCCAATCAAATCAAATGTGGAGAAAGAAAGAGAAGACTTGATCTGAAATTTTGAAGTGAGAAAAAAACTAAGAAGGGAAAGAGATCGATCTGCTGCTGTGCAGAGTAGTTACCCACTTGGAGATGAAAGAGACGACAATTGGTAGCCCACTTACACTTGGGCCTAAATAAAATTTGGACAATTGGCAATACACACACATATGGTCACTAAATCCTGTGAGAAATTATCTTTTTACCACTAGATTTTGAAAAAATATAAAGTAATCATTAATTTTAATGAATTATTACAAAATAAACATACTATAATTTTAAAAATTATTCATTAAAGTTAAAAAATGATTAAAAAATATTCTTTAAATTTATAAAAAATAATCACTATTTTATAACATATAATGACCATTTTACAATAATTTGATACTTATAATGACCAATTTATAATTTATGAAAATTTCATGACCTAAAATATTGTTTCAATATGATTGAATAGTACATTTGTAAACTTTAACCTAGAATATTACAAGAAGGTGAGTTGGTCAGTTACAATAAAATATAAGTTTATTTCAAAAATAGATAACTAAAGTTTATCACCCTTTTCATATTCATATTTAAATTGTTTTTTTTCCGTATAGCATATATCTAAAATATTCACTTTTTTCCACAAGGGTTTAAAAATATTTATTTTTTTAAAAGTAAATATACGAAGTATACTAGAAACAGACGTAGAATTTTATGTTATGGAGATAAATTTTTAAAATTTTAGGAGAGGTGGACTTGTAAAATTTTATGAGAAAAAATAAATTATTAATAGAAAAATATCTAAGATATATGATAATTTAAAAATTTTAGAAAGGCTATTGTTAGGGATGGGCATGGGTCGACTTTTTGGTCCACCCGACCCGATCCGAGAACAAGGAGTCCTCCATCCGAGATCCGACCCGACCCGACCAAAACAAGTTTTTCACTCGGCCCGATATATAACTTAAAAACCCGACCCGAAATAATAAAAAATTATTTTTATTCAATAAAACAATGACTTAATTGAAAAAATAATATATAGAGTATTATTGTAATTATTCTTAAATATATAAGGTAAAATTATATATTTTTCGGATCGGGCATTTTTCACCATAAACCCGAACCGACCCGACCCGAACATCACATTAAAAAATCAGACCCGAACACTTTTTTTAAAAAAAAATCTGACATGATCGAATCGAGTCGAAACCCATCGAGTTAGGTCTATGCCCTTCCCTAGCTATTGTCCTCTCCAATGATTTGATTACATTTTCAATTAAGTCTAGTATATAGAGTAAACTACTCGTTTAATTATATTTTTATTTTGGTCACTAAATTATTTTTTTTATAAAATCTCCACTAAACATTACGTTTTAGTTATATTTTGATTATTGGTTATCAAAAAATTAACTTAGATGGTGATGTGCCTTGGTATTTTAACAATCTTATTCTTTAAAACTCATACAGTCTATCAATCAAGTGTATTAGCTTTTTAACAAAAATAATTAAAATATAATTAACATGTAACATAAATACTAAAAAAATAATTAAATGACTAAAATAAAAACAAGATAGTGGTTAGGTGACTAAATAAGATTACTCAGCCTATTGTATATATGATTTAGCATATGTACATATAAATATTATTTTTACAATATTTGCAAATGTTCATCGCAAACATTTTTTGTTCTCAACTGAGTTAAGATTGAACTATAATTTGTAGTATCAACTGATTAAAATATTCAAATAACACCATCCGTGATCTATGTCTGTTATTGAAATAATCTTTGTCTATATGTTACCGTAAAAAGTTATCTCCTTTGAATAAAAGGGTTTAATTGGGAATTCAAAAGCAAAACAAAAGCCAAGACTTAAGAAAAAATGCAGAAAGGAAAGACGGATGGAGATATGCATAATATATACAGAAATATTATATATAAAATTTATCAAACGATTTGTTAGGATTATTGAGGTTCTATAGATCAATCAAAATAAGTCAAGAAGGAGAGAATTGGTGTTTAAAACATTTGGTGTGGAAGAAAAAAATTAGACAATTTGCACAATGATTTATACTAGTTCAACTTCCTCAATGAAGTAAACATTCACTAACTTAACAACACGCTAAGGGTTTCTAATAAATTCGCTAATTTATTCTTACATTTTCTAAGATAAGGTATAACCTTTACAACTCTATTTTTCTTTAGGCTCAACTAAAACCTCTACCCTTTACAAATGATGTTTGAGTAAACAAGAATACTTCACAAGGCAGGTGTTTATAAAGATTTAGCTCACAAGAAATAATCGCAGAAGATATTTAATAAAATTCTATACACTATGTACAAGAGAAAAATAAAGGAATAATGATTGAAGACTATTTTTTCTTGATCTCTTTGCTTGGATTGATGTAGTAACCTTCTTCAAATGTCATTGGGTTGTTTTTGTAGTGTGGAATAAGTTCCCAACCGTTTATGATCATTGGGGATGAGTTATAGCCGATGGAAGCCTCTATTTCCCATAATTGAGGCTACTTGCACTAGAAGTTTTAAAACTTTAGGGAAAGTTTCGAAACTCTTAAAAACGGTAATAAAATTTTTACCTTTGAAACCCCAAGTTTAGAAACTTTGATAAAAGTTTCAAAACTATTGAGAAAATATTGAAACTTCTAAACACACTATTTTTAAAAGTTTCAAAACTTTGATGAAAGTTTCAAAACTATTGAGAAAGTATCGAAACTTCTAACACTGTTTTTTAAAGTTTTGAAAATTTGATAAAAGCTTCGAAACTCTTACTTAAAAATATAACCGTTGAAGAAAATCGGGCCGTTAAAATTTTTTTAGGAGACAAAGTTTCAAACTTTATCGATAGTTTTAAAACCAATTATTCATGAACATTACTCGTGTATGAACATTATCATGAATAGTGACTTAATAGTATTTTTCATATTTGAAAAACTTTAAACACACTTTAATTACCTAAAAAATATTTCATGTATATAATAATTTAGAAATCATATTTTTTAAGTTATTTTGGACTTTGAATTATTTTTGGAATATTTGATCAAGTCCAAAATCAATTTTACAAATATTTGTTATATCAAAATATAAGTTGAACAATCTCCCCTTTTTGATATCGCAAAACTTCTTTGAAAAATTGTTTTTGACAAAAGCTCCTCTTTAGAAAAATATATTTTTGAAAAAGAGAATTTATTAAAAAATATTTAAGATCCTCATTTTTCTTTGAGAAATTTAATTTTCACTTACTTCTCCCCTTTTTGTTATATCAAAAAATAAAGAGTTCATCGTTTAAAAATAAAACTCTCCTTTAAAAAGACATTTCATGAATCTTTTAGCACAAAAACTTTGTCACTTAATAAGAATATTGAATTTCAACATAGATAAGAGAAACTAAGTTAGTTGCACATGAAATTCAATAAATTTAAGATTACCATACTTTATGCAATATAAAAAAAAATTCACAATGAATTAGACATGCATAAAGCTCTACATAATGTCATGCATTAAATATATAAATCAATTGTTAGAGAGATACCATTTGCTAGTAAGAATTTTTTCTTTTAGATTTCCTACATATGAAACTTTTAAATATGACATCAAATTAAAAAAAAAATTAAAATATTATCAAACTTGTCATCATAGGTTAAAAGGGATTCTAACTTTTTAAAAAATCAATAAATCAAGGATATCACTTGTTTTATTAATAGTTTTCAATAAAAGCACATTAAGGTCAAGATATTTTAATGAAATCATTAAACCATAAAAGTTTAACTTGTCAAAAAGAAAATAACGATGAACTAAATGTTGATAAAAACATTTAATTTTAAAACATGTTTATCATAATACATTTTCTTTATGCATGAGACAACAAATGACATCTAAACCATCATGCTCAAAATCTCATGTTAATCAAAAACATCAAAATAGACAACCAATATACAAAATCAATAACCATTAAGTTTCGAGGTTATCCATCATTCTTTTGTTTCATCAGAGCATTCAAATATTTTGGCATTACTCTTCAGTGCTCCAACACACATACAAGAGATATTCTTTTGGATTTTGGTACCCAAATTGCTTTGGGTCCTTGAGGGTTAGTATCGATGTCTCTAGTTCCCTTAGGAACTCATACTTGTCTAATTTTAAAAGTTTTTCTTTTATTTATAGGATAAGTATGTACATTATGACCATGATAATGGCAATGTTAGCAAGTTTGCTATTATTAAACTAGATGAATTAGTTGAAATGAATTATTTTCTTTTGTTAAGCATTCAGTCTTAACTTTTAAATCGAGATTTTTTTTTCAAAATTTTCAATTTTCTTTTTAGAAACTCTAATTCTTTCCTCAAAATTTTCATTTTAATTTTCAAAATCCAATTTTGTTTTCAAAAGGAAATCATTTTCATTTTTAAATTTGTTTTTTTATATTTGGAAGTTATGGTCTTAAATTCCAAACATAATTCATCATAAGCATCTTATAACTCATTAAAAGAATATGAATTAAATTCATTTGAGTTAGAAGATACCTTTGAATCTTCTTGAATGGCTAGTAAGCAATCATTGCCTATTTCATCTTCATCATTGAAGACACCCTTATCGTTTCAAGCAGCCACAAATGTTATCTTCTTATTAGATCCATTCTTCTTTAAGAGGGGATGCTCATACTTGATATGTCCCACACTTTGGCATTCAAAGCATATTGAGGGGGCCCTTTTCAGATTCATGTTTCACTTCCTTTCCTTTGGAGGTCATAAATCTTTTGAATATTTTGAAAAGCTTGACCATCTCTTCTTTCTTATCATATTCTTCACTTAAGGTGCTCTCATTTTTTGTAAAGGGTTTCATGGCAGCACCTACTTATTTATTTTCTTCGTTCTTATCTTCTTCTTCTTCTTCCTCTTTTACCATCAACTCATGGGTAAGTAAGAAACCAATAAATTCATCAAGTGTAAGAGACTTTAGGATCTTTTCTTCGATTATCACCTTTTTTTTTCGATTGCCAAGACTTTAGCAAAGAATAGATC